ATAACTGGTGACTTTTTGGTGATTTCTCACCTCTTGTGGCTGCAGGCAATGCCTTTGAGCCGATGACCATGTTCAGACACGCCGTGTCCAACGTGATCTGCTCCGTGGTCTTCGGGAGCCGCTACAGCTACAGCGACGCGGCTTTCCTGGAGCTGCTCAACGCCATCGGGAACTACATCAGCTTCTTCCTGTCCCCCGTGGCCAAGGTGGGAGCCTGGTGTGCTCAGCACCCTCTGCCTGCTGCCCTCAGGGGCTGAGGATGCTCCCTGCCTTTGGGGGGACAGCGTGGCTTTGAGGGAGGGGCGGGGAGGCTCTGCCCAGGAACCTGAGCCCTGCCGTGCCCCCTGTGCCCGCAGGTGTACAACACCTTTCCCAGCATCATGGACCGGCTCCCGGGGCCGCACAAGAAGGTCCTGGCCGACTGCCAGAAGCTGAAGGACCACATCCAGGAGAAGGTGCAGTTCCACCAGCTGACTCTGGACTCCAGCTGCCCCCGGGACTACATCGACTGTTTCCTGATAAGAGCAGAGAAGGTAGAGGGGGGCTGCCCTCCTGCCTGGCTGCAGCCTGCAGGATCACCCAGACACCACTGAATCCCTCCCCACCACACCTTCTTGCAGGAGAAGGGCAGCCCAGAGACCATGTACAGCCAAGAAGACCTGATCATGTCAGTGTTCAACCTCTTCGGCGCCGGGACGGTGACAACCAGCAACACCCTGGTGTTCTTCCTGCTGATGCTGGCAAAGCACCCCCACATCCAAGGTATGGCAGCAAAACACAGCTGCTCCCGTGCCCGGGGTGCTCATGGGGCAGAGGGTCCCAGCCCTGGAGGGTCCTGTCTGAGGGCAGACCCAAATCACCTGTGGGGTCACCCGAGGGTGGGAGCCATCAGACACAGACTCCCACAGTCCAGGGGGATCCGGGTGCTGCTCCCTGTGCTCCATCCCTGCCTGTGCAGATGGCCCTGGACTGGACTGGCCTGCGGGAGATGCTCTGAGCTTGCCTGATGCAGGGAGGGATGAGGGTAGAGACTGTTTCTGGCCTTTACAAGGGATTAGGATCTAGCCCACTCCTGGGGTTAGAATAAGGGCCCGTGGAGGCCAGTAAGGAACCCTGGGGAGGTTGCACAGCAGGCACCCAGCCCCCTGCTGTCCCCAGCCAAGGTCCAGGAGGAGATCGATGCCGTGGTGGGCACTGGCCGTGCCCCCTGCACGGAGGACAAGCTGCGGATGCCCTACACCAACGCCGTGATCCACGAGCTGCAGCGCTTCCACAAGGCCCGCATCGAGAACTTCCCGCGCATGACGACGCAGGACGTCCTGTTCAGGGGCTACTCCATCCCCAAGGTACCGGGGTGGCCCTGGAGCCTCTGTCTCCACAGGAGAGGTGCAGCGGGGCTCCAGTGCCGTTTGCCTTTGTCCTTGGACTGTTTGCTCACATCTGAAGGTCCCGGGTCTTTCCCAATCCTCGGTAGCAATGACCTTTCAGAGGGGAGTAGAGGCACGTGAGTGTCTGTCTGTCCTGCCCACAGCCCATGACCCTTCCTTGCCCATCCTGGAAAACAGCTCTTCCCCCCGTGGAGCCGTGCAGGGCTGCGGGGCCAGAGCAGGAGCCCAGCCTGGGGTGGGGCCAGGCCAGAACCCCCCACCCCTTGGCAGATGTGGGGACCCCTCCCGGTTTGACCACGAGCACTGGGTGCAAAACCCACCCTGAGGGAACATCTCTTACCTTTGGATTTGGCAGTGAGAGGGGCTTTAACAGAAATCCATGGAATAACTCGGTAATTAGTGTCCCATGAGCTGCACAGAGACTGGCAGGACCATGGGGACACCAGAGCCCACGTCATTCGTCCCAGTGGCACAGAGCCACCAATCCAGGCTGCCTCCCCGTGGGAACCTGCTTGGGTATTGGGGTGCACACCCAGCCTCCCCCGTGTCCCCCAGATGCTCCCCCCATGACTAAGCCACCCCAGCAGAGCCCATGGCGTGGCACTGATGTCCCTCCTCACATCCCTGCTCACCCCTCTCCCACAGGGCACTCCTGTTATTCCAGTACTTTCCTCTGTGCATTCGGATCCAACCCAGTGGGAGAACCCCAAAGAAGTGGACCCCAAACATTTTTTGGATGAGAAGGGCGAGTTCAGGAAGCGCGAGGCCTTCATGGCATTCTCAGCAGGTCAGTGCTCCCCTGCCCTGCCAGCTCCGTGCCCAGGAGTGCCAGCACAGGCACCCAGTGCCACCACAGTGCCACCCTCCCACCCTCCTGTCCCCTCGATCCCCACCGGGGTCACCCCTCTCTCGTGCCCAGGGAAGCGGATGTGCCCGGGGGAGGCTCTGGCCCGCATCGAGCTCTTCCTGTTCCTCACCACGCTGCTGCAGAAGTTCACCTTCCAGCTGGCCACGGAGCACAGGGAGCTGGATTTGTTCTCCCTGTGGCTCGAGATTGAGAGGAGGGCAATCCCAGGAAAGTTCTTCGCTCTCCCACGCCCGGTGTCCTCCTAGGCTGGGAGAGCAGGACAAGGAAAGGCTCTCCAGGTGCCTCCACCCCTGCCCCAGAGCGAGCCCTGTGGCCACGAGGGCACAGCCACCACAGGAGGGACACTTTGGGCTTGGAGCTTCTCCTCTGAGACCTGTGCCACCAGCTCCATGAGCAGCCTGCTCCCAGCCCTTCCCTCCCCATCCCAGGAACACAAAGAAGGCGTCACCGCTGCTCCCCCCCATCCCATCCCATCCCATCCCATCCCATCCCATCCCATCCCATCCCATCCCATCCCATCCCTGCTGTTGGAGTTCCTCATGGCAGGGCTGCCTGGGGCTCCTGGCTGAGTGGGGCCTCCTCAGTTTGGTGAAAGATTCAGAGCAATAAAAATAACCATCACAGCAGGGTGCTGGTGTTTATAAGAGCACTTGTGGTGCCTCTTGCATCCAGTTCTTCCCAGTGCAAACCTCCCAGACACAGGATTTCAGCTCCATGTCTCTTCCTGGGGTTCCTTCACCTTTTCCAGAACAGCTCGAGCCAGGAAATCACCCAGGCATCAATCCAGTTCCATCCCTGCCATGGCTTCCACTGTCCCAGGCTGCTCCAAGCCCCATCCAACCTGGCATTGGACACTGCCAGGGATCATGGGGCAGCCAGAGCAGCTCTGGGCACCCTCACAGACAGGAATTTCTGCCCAGTATCCAATCTAATGCTGCCCTGCAGCAGTTTGAAGTCACTCCCCTTTGACCTGTCACTTCAGTTCATTGTCCCAAGTCCCTCTCACTGGGAGAGAGGGACTTGGGACAGTACTGGAAAGGGCTCTAAGGTCTCCCTGGAGTCCCTTCTCCAGGCTGAACTATTCAAATTCTCTCATCTTCCAAAAACACACACTTGCTATCTCATTGCTGGGCTGCACTTCTCTGATTCCTTCACACCAATATTAACTCCAGAAATTGCCCTCAGGAGCCAGTTCAGCCCTGTGTGCAGCTGCTGGAGTTTTTCTGGGGCTCCTGAGGGGAGCTGGCCCGGTGGGATGTGCTCGCAGCCTCCCGTTCCCCCTGCCCGGGGCTGAGGGTGCTGCAGAGCATGTTGTGTCAGCACTGGGGCTTGGGCACCCCAGGAAGCCTGGGACTTCAGGGTATGGGGAAAATTGGGGTTCCCCAGGGGTCTCAGAGCTGGCTTTGGTGGGGTTTGCCTTGCTGGGGTGCTCCTGCAAACACGGAGAGGGGGACAGCAGGGACTCTGCCCTGGGGGAGGTGACATCAGGACCTGGTTAATCCTGGGGCGCCTTGTCCCAAATGATGCATAAACCAGCCTTTACTCTGACTCTAAGTGCATTTGTGACTTTTAGATGACTAAATCAGATCTTTTCTTAATCTGGGGAAGCTCAGGCAGGCAGAGCCACCTGTCAAAAACGTGTGTGACTGAAGCCTTTGCTCAATCTCTGCCTGAAGCCCTGGGTCAGCACTGTGCCTGTGAACTGGGTGACCCCTGGGCTCCTGTGTCTAAAACCAAACACGGGTTTGGACATCAAACAGGCGTCCAAAGGCCACCCGTGCTCCGCTTCCCGGGGCGTTCCCTGCCCGTTCGTGTCACTGCCCAGCCCAGCTGTGCCTGGGGCTGGCATGGTGCCCTGCCCTGACTGCGGGTGCCCATCCCGGGGGGCTGCTGGCACTCTGGCATCCCCCATCACCCCCCAGCATCCCCCGGCACCCCAATATCCCCTGGATACTGCCTTCACCCTGCCATCCCCCGGCATCCCGACATCCCCCATCACCCTGCCATTCCCTGGCATCCCCCATCACCCCGACATCCTCCAGCACCCCGACATCCCCCGGCACCCCACCACCCCTGGACATCCCCGGTCCCCGCCGGCTGCGGGGCCGTGCCCGCGGGCTGCGCGGCTCCCAGCAGCATCGCGGCGGCGGGTGGAGGTGACGGTAACTGTCGCGGCGGTGGCGGCGGCGGCGGCGGGGAGGAGCCCCGGGCAGGTGAGCGGCTCCCTTCCTTTCCTTCTGAATGTCACAGCTCCGGTCGTACTCGTACTGCTGGAAATGGAGCGGCTAAAGGCAGAGAAGGTTTTCCCCTGCTCTCAGCAAACCGGGGCGATGTCCTTGGCACGAGCGGCCCTGCTGTGCCCCCTTGCAGCCGGGGGCTGGCACCTTGCCGTGCTGATCCCCTGCTGCTTCCATAAGGGAGGAGCCCTCGCCACCACCCAGGGCAGGGGAGAGAGGGAAGAGATGTCACCCTGTCCCTCAGCCCTGCTGCTGCGAGCTGTCCTGCAGAGCAGGAGTGCTCCCAGCTCTTTCCTGTGGCTCTCACAGTGCCCAGGTGATGAGTTAAAGACCACCCAGCTCTTCCAGGGCACAAAACTCGAGCACTTCCAGGACTGTCAATTCCCTGTTTTCCAGGTGGCCAAGCACCAGAACGTGCTTTTGGCCCCAAAACACTGAGTGCCCTGCCAGGAAGGTCCCGATGCAGGGGACAGCTCACCTTTGTCCCCAGCTGGTGCAGATGTCACCATGGTTCCTGCGTCTCTCCCGTCAGGCTCTGATGTCAGCCAACCCAAGGACTTTACTCGCGTGCTGCCATTCCAGCTCTCCATGGCCATCCTGGGTAAGCTGCTCTGATTTTCCAGTGCTTTCCCCTAAGGGTAAGGAATGGTTTCCAGAGGGGATCAGCCCACCTGTCCCTCTAACTTCCCAGGGCTTTTGGATCACAAATCCCTGGATGCCTGCTCTGCTGTGAACGGTCACTGGGAGTTCCTGGTCAGGCGGCTCCAGGAGGACAAGGAGTGTTGGAGCACAGTACACAAGAACCTCCTGCAGCTGCAGGTGGGACACCTGGACTCCTGCTGCCATCAGGCACTTCAAGAAGAGGGGCTTTGCTGCTGCCCAAGCTGTTAAATGGAAATTCCTGTACCAGAGGTGCCCCCAACTCTGCCATGGCCCTTCCACCTCCAGCTGCAGAGCACAGCCAGGTGACATTTCACACTGTCACAAGGATGGCTTTTAGTCTCCTTTAGAGAGCCTGAGACTCTAAAAATGCCTCCAAACATTCTTCAGGAAAGCAGATTTGGTCACAATGAAAATTTCCAGAGGCAGTGGAGGCTGGGCAGAGCTACAACAGCTCCCAAGGCAGCTCAGGAATGAGCTTCACTTGAAATGAAGGTGTCTGTGAGGAGCTGGGGCAGTGGCTGGAGCACAGGAATGCAGAACTCCTGGGACAGGCCTGGCCTGGCCAGCAGAACCTGCCACAGACAGAGCGAGGTGTGAAGGAGCCTCCCCCAAGAGACAGTCTGGAGCCTCAGCTGCTTTGGGTTGTGAAGGGAGCACAGAAACTCAGCTCTGTGCTGGCCTTCAGAAAAGGCTTCAGGGAAGGTTTCACAGGCTAAAAATGAATCTTGAGTGTTGACTGAGATGTTTTGAGAGCCTCCCATCTCAGAGAGTTTGGATTCTGAATCAACTGAGTGCCTGCCAAAGATGAGATGAGCTCCAAATTTTACTGCTTATTAAAAGCTTAAGACTAGAGTTTGGAAAAAAAATAATAAAAGGCAATTATTTATCACCAGAATTTAAACATGAGGTAGTCAGAGTGCTAACTGTAAGCCAGGTCTCAACAAGAAGCCAGAGTGTGCAGCTCAGCTCTGCAGGGAGCCCCAGCACCCCGAGGAGATGAGCAGCACACCCTGCCAGCGTGGGCTCTGCAGTAACTGTTGCCTCTGTTGGTTTATTCCAGGAGTTGTGTCCTAGAAAAACCATGCCAAACTATGCTAAAAGAGTCGACGTGCAAATTCCCCAGTTAGATGATGAGGGTGAGGTCATTGAAGTGAAGGACAAGGAGCAGAAGAAGAGGCGTAAATCCAAGGTTTGTTGGATGCTGCATGTCAGAGTTTGGGGAGGAGAGAGGACAGCTCGTGGGAGACAGCACAGTGAATTTGGAATTGCTTCATTCTTTCCCACTCCTGCTTTTGGATTGCCCCATCCTGAGCAGTTCATAGGGACCAGGGCTTGCTCAGCACCTTCCCACATGGGAGGGAGTTTGGGAGGCATTCCCAAACTTCTGCCTCATCCCCGTGTGTCCCCAGTTATGGCACAATCCTGACACAGAATGAAGGGTGCAGATCTCAGGGCTTCCACTAATGCCACAGAACACGGCCTGGGAACAACCCTGGGCTAAGCAGGGTCTTGCTGCACTCTGGTTTTCCTTACTCTGGGCTCATCCCTAGAGCTGACAGGTTCATTACTATGGAATAATGCTGCATTCCTGCCTCTCTGAGTTATTTTTCCTTATTTCCCTTGCCATCAGACAGAGGATTTCGGTCTGCATGAAGCCTATCAGGAACTGAAAACTCAAAAGATCGAGCTGGAAGAGAGGAATGTCTTCTGTGGCCCCTACAAGACCTGTGTCCTCATGGAGCAGTGAGTAGAGTGCCCAGCTGTGGGGACAAGAGCAGCTTCAGGAAAGCTGCTCCACTCCCTGTGATGCTCCTGGATGGCTGAGAAGGGTCCCTCAGTGTCAGCATTCAGAAATCTCCATTTTTAAAATAAAGATACTAAGATAAGCTGTTTTTAAAGGAATAAGGGTTGGTGTATCCCAAGGGATATGGGGCTGGGAGGAGCCCCAGCCCCTCTGCCCACCCTGATACAAAGGGGGCTGTGCAGATTTAGGGACTGTGGTGGTGCCTGCAAAGGATTCACCGCCAGAGTGCTGCCCACCGTGCCCAGCTAAGGGCAGGGAAATGCTGAGCCAGGCCTGCAGCTGGCTAAAGCTCAGCCCAGGCACTGCCTACAGGTCTGACAGCAGAAGGAGAGCCCATTACAGTGGTGGGGACCGGGTGGCCGCTGCCAGCAGGAGGGTGAGGCTGCTCCGTGTGCCAGGAGGGAAGCAGGAGCCGCTGCTGCTGCGCGGCCACGCCGGGCCCGTCACAGCTCTGTGCCTCCGCGAGGACAAGGGGCTCCTGCTCAGCAGCACCAGCCTGGAGCCCAGCATCAGGTGAGCTGGGGCTGGGACACCCAGCCCAGAACAATGAGGGGAGGGGGAAGGACAGGGTAAAACGGCAATGCCAAGCCTGACTGGACCGCTGCAGTTTCCCTGACACCTTAGTGGAACAGCTGCTGGCTTTACCCCGGTGTGTGGGAGCAGAGTCGGGCACATCAAAAAGGAAATAATAATGGAACCACATGGAAGGAATGGTAAAGCTCTCCTCTCTGCAGGTGCTGGAACATTCACAGTGGTGCCTGTGTGAGGACCTTGACGGGTCACTACGCGGCCATCACCTGCCTGCACTCCCACCAGGAGCAGCTGGTGTCGGGAGCTGGGGATGGCATGGTGAAAGGTGAGAGCAGGAGCTCCCAGCCACAGCTGGCCCAGCGGCACACAGGCTGGGGTGGAAGGGAGGCTGTGAGTCACAGCTGGGGACACGTGCACGCACAGCCTCTGATTGTGTCTGGGATGAAATTCTCGTTAGTTCTGCTTTTATTCAGAATTAATGGCTTTGTGGCTGTAATGCCATCCCAGCTCTTGGGCAAATGGTATCACTTTCAGCTTTGCCAGATGTTTCCTTATAGAATAAAGGTGAAAAAGATGTGCTTTTCCTGGACTTTACATTTAAATTGTCTGCCATGCAATTATGCCTTTTAAGCCAACACCCAGCTCCTCGCAGAGCCCACCAGGTGTGACTGTAATCCAATAGTATTTTTTAATGCAGCCCACCAGGTGTGACTGCAATCCAATAGTATTTTTTAATGGATATTGTACTTCCAAAACTCATCACCGGGGCAGATGCATTTTTAATTCTCCTCCTTGTTGCCCCAGCAGTGTGGAGCCTGAAGAGTGGGAAGTGTCTGAGGACTCTGATGCACAGCAGCCCTGTGGGGGCAGTGAGGATGGACGGGACCCACGTGGTCAGTGGGGGTCACCGAGGGCTGGTGAAGGTCTGGAGTGCTGAGACAGGGGTTCTGATCAAGGTGAGTTTCCTCTTGGATGGATAATTCTGTGCTAAATGGTCACAATTCTCTGCTAGTTCATCACAGTTTTTTTTGCATTTGTGAAAGACGTACTAAAAAAGAAATTAATCCCCCCAAACAACCCCTAAAGCAGTCTAAAACAATCAAGGCAACTGCAGATAATTAAAAAACTGACTTGCAACCAGCTGCTGATTTTAAGGCAGGGTGTGATTTGCTTCACCCCTATCACTGCTCATTCTCTGTAGCTCTGTTCATCGCTGCTCCCACAGAAACCTTCTGAACCTGGGGAGATGATGGAAGTGCTTCACTAACCTGGGGCTGGAGGCACCAGGGTCAGCCCAAAACAGGAACCTTGCTCTCAGCAGCAGCTTCTGGAGCAGCTGGGCAGCTGTGGGAGCACTGAGTCTGTGAATTCCCTGCTCAGGTGTCCAGGATCAGTGCCAGCCCATACCTGGGAGAGGAGGGAAGCTCTTTACCTGCAGAGAAATAGATTGCCCAGATATCTCAGATATCCCAGCTCCAGCTGAGCCCCTTCCCCTACAGCCAGGGCAGCCCCCTCTTCCCTCCTGGGACAATATTCCAGAGACCACAAAGGTCTCAGTGAAGTAACATCTCTTTATCACATGCAATAAAGATGGAAAAGGTATGCTATTCCATGCCAGGAGCTCAGCAGCAGCACCAAGCCCAGAACATTTCAGTGCCTATAAAACAAACCCAGTTATCCCTGGGGGCCACTGGTACAATAACACTCTATAAAACCATGTCAGGCTGGTGTCCTGAAAGCCAAGGACACCTCAGACAGATTTACATCCCGATTACTGATTGTGTTGCACCTTCTTCTTTTACTTTGCAGACATTAGAGAGGCACCAAGGCCCAGTTCTCTGCTTGTCCTTTGACCAGTGGCACCTTGTCACAGGGAGCAGTGATGGATATGCCCTGGGATGGAGCATGTTGGGAAAATTTAGGAGATGCCTGATAGCTTTCTTCCACCCCAAGTAGGAATCAGATGTGTTTCAAGTTGTATTCAACAGTGGACTGAATCTGTAAAGAAAATTGCTCCTTACAGGAGCAGAAAATGCCTTAATCACCACTCTGAGGATTTGAAATATCCCCACTTTCAGCAACCTTTATGTCAAAGGCTCTGTCAGGCACCCTGCGGTCACAAGCAGCATTTTCAGTTAAGACCTGGAACAACCTGAAATGCAAACCCACAACACTTTATCCCTACCAGGGATGACTAAAGACAGACAGAGCACAGTCCAATATTGCAAGGATCCCCTGCTGTGTGCCACAGGGTGCCACATCACCTGGGCAGGAATAGAGGTGGCCCAATTTCATGCTGACCAACTGCGTGTTATGCCATCCTCTCAGACTTAAATTGTATCTAGAACTGTGAAAACTGGAGAATCATATGGTTTTCATTGATTTTCCTGGACATAAAACTGAAATTTCAAATGCAGCAGATGGCCAGGACCATATGGTTGCTATGGGGAGCACGGAATCACAGAATCCCAGAATGGTTTGGGTTGGAAGGGACCTTAAAGATCACCTCATTCCAACCCCCTGCCATGGGCAGGGACACCTTCCAGTGGAAGGATGCACTGGGCTGTTGGTTTGGACGTGGAATGATCTGAGAGATCTCTGCCAGACCTTTGCAATGTCCTGATCAGCTCCTCAGTGCAGGCTGTTGCTGCAGCCAGAGCTCTGCTTCTCCTGCAGGCTGAAAGAGCTCACTGAGCATTTCTCCTTGTGCAAGCACCACAGAAGTGCCAACTCACCTGGTGTGTTTTCAGGGAAGTCCTGTCCCTGGAGTTCCTGTACCTCAGAGTCATCAGTGGCTGTGCTGATGGATGCATTCGGATATTCAACTTCCTGACTGGCTCCTGCCTCAAAGTGTTGGAGCCCACCGGCAGCGGGGACCCCGTGTCTGCTCTCTTTGTTGCAGGAAACAGGTGGGTGACAGCAGCTGCCAGCAGGCTCTGACCCAAATTTGGTAGATTACACTGAAACTTAAGGAACTGTGAGTTTTTCCTTCTCGCAAATAACTTTTAAAGGGCTCCACTATCTATTAACTGCTTCAATAATCTGGTTTAGTTGACAATGGCTAAAAAGATTTCCTTAGTCTCTTCAGCAATGTACAGTTTCCTGTTTTTCTACAGCTGAAGATACAGACCCAACTGTAAAGCTGAAATCAGATATTCTAGAAGGTTGGAGAATCAATCCAATACCTGGCAGTCTCTGCCTGTTCCCTGACCTACAGCCTCTTTGTAAAGGCCAAGAATGAGAAATCCTTCCAGGTTCATTTTGCACCTCTAACTAAAGGTGGCTCCCAGCTGCTGTGGAAGCAGTGGGTAAAACATTGCTGTGCTTTGAGGGCTGGGTTGGCCACACTCTAAAACACAGCAATAAATAGGAAGATATGAAGAAATTAACGGCATCCCAACCAGCCCAGCACAGCCCTTCAATCCACACTCAGGTGTCCCTGACAGGGTATGTGTAGTGAGGTACTTCCATCCTTTAGCACTACGCTGATCTAGCTCTGTCCACTGCTGAACATTTTCATCCTAATTATTTTTTAATTAATTTTGCCACGGAGCTGAATGAAAAGAGCACCAGAGACTCACACAGAGCACAAGTTAAAATGTGCAGTGCCTGATTCATAGGGTCAGTTGCTGCTGCTCCTTCAAGGAGAGATGATGATCTCGGATCTGCTGGAGGCCCTGGGGTTTGTGCTGCCCAGGAGCCCCTCAGGCAAGACCTGTGATTCCTGTGCTTTTATGGCTCTTCCCTCCCTCCTCCAGGCTGGTGACCAACTCCCCCAGCAGACTGCTGCTGCTGCAGTTCGAGGATGTGCTGTGGGACTATTCCCTGCCTGCTGACAGAGAGGTGCTGAAGCAGGACAGGAGGTCTCAGAAGGGGAAGCGCCAGGGTGCCGGTGCAGAGCAGCAGCGAGCTCAGGACAAGTCCCCGAGATCTCGCCAGGGACCAAAGAGCCATGGAAGACCCAAAAGTATCACACTGAGCCTCTTCTTTTCTGGCTTTTCTAAACTGAGTTACAAACCAAGCAGCCACTGCCTCCAGCCCAGGCAATATTCAGGCTCTGCTGTTGTCAAGAGCAGATGTGCTGTTCCATTTCAATGGTTCTGTCATTTTCTAGGCTTCTGTGAAACCTTTCTGCCTTTTTACAAGGGTTTGGTGTAACTTCAACACATTTCTCAGACAGGCACTGTCATTTTCCGACTGAGTAAGAGAGAAATCAGTAGTAGTATTCATATTCGCACAGCTGGTGGGCTTGGAAACACGCTGCTGATTCAGGGCTTGAATTATTCATTACAAACACCCCAGAAAGTGAGAGAACACCTACATTCAGGATCTGCCATCACTGGGAAAGGCAACTGCACAGAAACAGGCACCTTTTCAATTGTAACAAGTGATGTTATTTTGTTTTTAGTCAGTGCTATTCAATGCAGTGTGATGACAAATCCTCCAGCTCCACAAACTGAGTATTGCAGATAAACTGATGGGCTGGGAAAAGGTTCTTGCTGTCCAGGCCAGCAGATGGCAACTGATGCTCTGCTTGGTAAAAGACAGGACCCAGGGAACAGCTGGAGCTGGGCCAGGGCAGGGCAGGCTGGATTTCAGGGAAAGGTTCTGCCCCAGAGGCTGCTGGCACTGCCCAGACTGCCCAGGGAATGGGCACGGCCCCGAGGTTGCCAGAGCTCCAGGGCCTTTGGACACCCTGCCAGGGATGCCCAGGGTGGGACTGCTGGGGGTCTGGGCAGGGTTGGGGCTGGGCTGGACGATCCTTGTGGGTCCCTCCCAACTCAGCTTATCCAGCGATTCTCTGGCTCTGTGCTCTGCAGTGCGTGGGAAAGCCTCTCAACCCCAAATGTGTCGCTTTGTTTTTGGCCGCAGGTGATGAAGCTGAACAGGGCCCTGCTTCCCCTGCACCTGAGGAGGCAGAGGCCACTCCGGAGTGTGAGCTGCCCCAGAGAGACCCAAGGAGTCCCCTGTCCCCTGACAAGTTCCTCTTAACCATCGGCAGGCTGCAGAGCTTCTGCAAGCCAGCCGCAGCCAGCCGCAGCCCCAGCCTGCTGTCTGCCAAAGGCAGGGCAGCCCAGCAGCAGCGCCCTGGGGAGGGCAGCACGGCCCTGCAGCACCGCGAGGAGCGGGCAGCGCAGCTCCAGCGCGCCAGGCTGCACAGCCGCTCTCTGACCGCCACAAAAATCTCAACGCCCTTTGGAAGCAAAACGCTGCGGCTCAGGCTGGAGAGCTCTTTGCACAGCCCCGCTCTGAAATCCTCCATCCCCGCTGCCCGTGTTGTAAGTCCCAAGTTTTGTGGCTCGCTGGGAGAAAGGAAAACTCCCGGTGGCCATGGGAAAGACACTCCTGGTCCCACACACTGGGATCAGCTCATCGATCTCTGCACAGCTTCTTCAGAGCTGATCCAAGCAACGCCTGGCACGGCTGCAGAGATGAGGAATGGAGCTGCCAGGAGAATAAAGCCCTCGTGTCCCGTCGCTTCCCGCAGGGACAGTGGGCTCAGGCTCCTGACAGCAGAGCAGGAGGTGCGTGAGGCAGCCCTGGCAGCTCAGCATCAGGCACAGCAGGCAAAGCCCACGGAAGATAAAGACAGAGCCAGAAGGAAAGCCTGGCTGAGGAAAATGAAAGGCCTACCTGTGGATTATTTTACTGGGGAGAGGAAAACACCTGCTCCAGAACTTGGGCACAACACGTTTATCTGAGGTGATCCCCAAGTCCGGCCAACAGCCACGACCTGGGATTCTGGTGTCCAGCTGAGTCTGCCATGTGGCTTTAGGTATAAAATACAGATGCATTCATTTATATACATTTAAGTATGTTTAGTATATTTAAGGATACTCCCTGTGGTTTGAAGTGTAAAACACTGCCCCACTGTAAGTGTTCCTAAGAAATACTGTTGGTATATTCAGCTATTTGTCAAGGCAGTGAATGGACCGAGCCCTCTCCTGGATTTAACTCCCTAAACCTGCTGTCATTACCAACATGGCACTATCTGACACCAACACAGCTCAGGAGGGCTCAACCCTGTGAGAATAATAATAAAAACTTCCTATCAGAGCTTCTGTGGATTGATCAGGGTGTGGAAGCTGGAGACGTGTGGACTGAAAGCCAACAGATCAGTAGCACAAAGTCTGCTTGGAGGCCAGTAGCTGGGGGTTGATCCTGCATCTGATTTTGTTTAACATCATCATTAATTAATGCCCCAGACCATGGGCAGGGTGTCCTGAGGTGCCACCGACCCCAGGGAGGTGCTGCCATCCAGAGGGACCTGGCCAGGCTGGACGGAGCTGAGGGAACCCTGGGGAGGTTCAGCAGGGGAAGCTCCAGCACTGCCCTGGGGAAGAACTGCCCCAGGACCTGTGGAAAGCAGCTTAGACTTCGTTTCTACGAAATGCAAAATAGGGTAAGGGGTTCAATTTCCCCATTTCTGTGGATCAGTGCCTACTTGTACTTGATTGTGGAAGGTTTCCTGTCACTGCCCCAGGACCTGTGGAAAGCAGCTTAGACTTCGTTTCTACGAAATGCAAAATAGGGTAAGGGGTTCAATTTCCCCATTTCTGTGGATCAAGTGCCTACTTGTACTTGATGGCAGAAGGTTTCCTGTTCATGGCAGGGGGACGGAACTGGATGGTGTTCAAGGTTTCTTCCAACCCCAACTACCCTGTCATTTTGTGGTTTCCTCTAATGCTGAGAACTTAACAGGACAAAAACCTTTCTAGTATTTGAAAAAACCTATTTATCTAGCTTTGAGTGTCTGGGCTGGTGTACCAAAAATCTGTTGTATCAGAGGTTTGAGAGAGGCCAGTTCTGCCCATGGTCATGCCAAGGGGCCTTCAGCAGCTGTTCTGGTTTGAAATTACAGTCTCTGAAACTGTCCTCACAGTGGGGCTGCGATTAGTGTTGGTTTGTTTAATTCAATGCCGTCTTCGACTCGCAAACGCTGGGATGAAGCCAGCGCAAAATAACCGCGGGAGGCTGGCAGCTGGCACGGGGCCGAGCCGGGGCACGGGGCCGAGCCGAGCCGAGCCGGGCCGAGGCACGGGGGCCGAGCCGAGCCGGGGCACGGGGGCCAAGCCGAGCCGAGCCGGGGCACGGGGGCCGAGCCGAGCCGGGCAGGACGGAGCGATGGCAGCTCCGCCGCACGATGGCAGCTTCGCCCAAGGAACGAGGATAAACCCGCCCTGCTGCGGCCAAGGAACCGCGCCTCAGCCCGCGGGGAAACGTCTCCATAAAGGCTGGAGGGAAAACATCAGGGAAGGGCTGGTTCCTTTTCGGCCACGACGAAGTGAGGAGGATCACAGGGCTGCGTTCAGCTTGGAGTCCGTAAATCAGCCCCTCCCTGCAGCTGTGGGTGCTCCGGTGCTAGCAGCCCGGATCCCCCGGGACCCTCAGGCGGTGCCGGTCCCTCGGGGTCCCCCCGGATCCCCCGGGACCCTCGGGGTCCCCCCGGGTCCCCCGCTCCCCTCAGGGTCCCCCGGGTCCCTCAGGGCCGTTGGCGGCAGCGCCTCCCGCCCCAGCCACGTCTCGCGCCCGGCTCCCGCTAGCGCGCACGCGCAGGGGGCGGAGCGGCCGAGCGGGGTCACGGGACGCGACGCGATTGGTCCGCGGCCGTGACGTACGCGGCGAGGCGGAAGTGGCGGCTCCGACCATGGTACGGGACCGGGACCGGGACCTGGGACATAGGACCGGGGTCTGACTTCGGACTGGGACCAGGGGCTTGGGCACGGATCACAGGACCGGGATCTCGGGGCCGGAGCAGGGGCTTGGGCACGGCTGATAGGATCGGGGCCGGGAGCGGAGCGGGACCCGCTTCCCGCAGGCCCCGGGCGGGCTGCGGGCCCGGAGGCGCTCTGTGCCGGGACAGGCCCTGCACAGCCGCGCCCGCGGTGCGTGACACGGACGGAGCTGCTGGCACCCGAGCTCGGGGTCACTTCGCACCGCTGCTTCCAGAGCGGCTCCCAGCAGAGCTTCTCTCCCGGCAGTTCTCCCTCGTGGCCGCGGTGCCGGGCACTGACTGTCCTGCAAGGCTCAGGAACAAAAGCTGTGCCCCAGCTGGAGTTAGCGGGCAGGGAGAACACGGGTGGCAGGCTCTCCTTGCACCCCAGGGAGCAGCGGGTTCGTGATCAGCGGGGGGCTCAGCTGCAGCTCACCAATCCGAGCCTGATGAACATCTCTGAGATCACACTGTAGGCTTGTGTGTGGTTAAATCTTCCCAAATGCATTCTGATCCTGAGGTGCCTCTGTGGTTTTCTGGGTGATGAGCACTGTCCCCGGCTGATGCTGACAGGGGTTTTATTTTTCTCCTGTAACCCTTTGCCTCTGCTCCACCGCAGGACAGCAGTGATGACATTGAAGATGTGTCTCTCTTTGATGCAGATGATGATGTATCCAGGAGATCCAAAAAGTCAAAAATAAGGTTGGTGGTGACAGAGGGAGTTTCTGGAATGTCTCCTCCTTGTGTCAGCTCCCAGGCAGTTATTTCCCACATTTCCAGGACTTTGGATTCATGTTACGATGCTGACCCTTACCCTTGGCAGTGTCACTTGTCTGCAGGAGCTGTGACTGTCCTGTGCTTCATTCCAGGCACCCAGTGGCATCATTTTTCCACTTATTCTTCCGAGTCAGTGCCATTGTTGTTTACCTGCTCTGTGAGCTCTTAACCAGCAGCTTCATTGCCTGCATGGTGACCATCATCCTCCTCCTGTCCTGTGACTTCTGGGCTGTAAAGGTGAGTTCCCCTTGTGCCTTTTGTCGTCTTTGCCTTGCTTGTAAAAATAACTGACAGTGATGCTCATGTCTCAGAAAAGTCATTTATTTGTGCCTCTCCCACAAAATGATGCCCCAAAAGCACCCTCAGTACTGGGGTGGATTGCAGGGAGTTGTGAAATAAACTCTGACACCTCTGTGCACTTGGCTCCTTTTGAAAGTCCAGTGCAGAGCGTTGATTAGACTCCCTTGTGAGGCAGCACAGGCTTTGTCAGCAGCTCAGAAGCACCACAAACCTGCCCCTTGTGCTGGCTCTCTGTGCCTTGCTGTGGCTCTCGTTCTCCCAGGTGTGAGGCAGATGGGCACCCTGGAAAGCAGCAGCCCGGGCCCTGAGCTGTGGCAGGAGGTTTCTTTGGCAGAAGAGCAGAGCTCAGGGGTTCTCCTCTCTTTCAGAACGTCACAGGGCGGCTCATGGTTGGCCTTCGCTGGTGGAACCAGGTGGATGATGATGGCAGGAGTCACTGGGTGTTTGAGGCCAGGAAGGTGATGTTGTTCTAACCTTGTCTGGTACTGGGAGCTGCTGCTGCTGAGGGGAGATTGCTGGCAGCCACAGATCTGGGACCTTGTTTTGTGCAGGCTGCTGGATGAGCTTTTTGGTTGTTGAGTTATTAAAAAGTTCTCATGATGTATTGATCTGGCTTAATGTAGGTAATGCAAGTCTGTGGTTTTTGGAGGGAGGAAATGACTCCTTTGGCTGTTTATAAGCTTTGTAACTGAACCGTGCAGGAAATGTCATTTTTCCCAAATTACCCTTCTAGCCCCAAGCATTCCAAGAGGTTTTGATGCTGGTGTCTCCAGAGATTCTGAGAGAAAACTGAGAAGATTCCCTTAAGTGGAAACACTTCCTGTTGCAGAGATGTCTTGTGTGATGCAGAAATTAGTCTTGGAAGCACCCAGTGCTGTTGTGTGGAGGGAAATCCCAGGGAGTGTGGGGATTCTGCCCTGGTTTTCAGGACATGGGATCTGTAGGATGGAGCAGCCTGCTCACTGCCATTTCCTTTCTGTTTCAGGTGTCAGCACAAGGGGGTAAAACCTCATCTGAAGCAGAGTCCCGAATTTTCTGGCTGGGCCTGATCACCTGCCCTATGATCTGGGTGATCTTTGCCTTCAGTGCTCTCTTCTCTTTCAAAGTGAAGTGGTTGGTGAGTGCCCCCTGAGCCCCACTGGCCTGGCCCTGTGGGAGCCAGGAGCTGCCAGCTGCTGATGCCTTTTCCCTGTCACAGGCCGTGGTGGTGATGGGGGTGGTGCTGCAGGGAGCCAACCTCTATGGCTACGTCAGGTGTAAAGTTGGCAGCAGGAAGAACCTGACCAGCATGGCAACCAGCTACCTGGGGAAGCAGTTCCTGCGGCAGGTGAGGCCTGCAGGCTCTGGGATCCCTGGGGAAAACAGGAGGGGCTGGTTGGTGTTCTGAGCTGTGCAGTGGGACCCTTCCCTCGCTGCTGCTTGGGAGCCTGAGCCCCGTTAATTAAGGCTCCGAGCACTGCTAATTGCAGCTGCCCAGCCCCACGAGCAGTGCTGTGGTATTGGCTGTGCCGTGGGTAAATGCCATGGGAATTTCTGGAATATGGCTGGTGTGCTGGGAGTCACAGCTGGCTGAAAGGGCTGCCACTGCCCTTTGTGTTCTCACCCACCTCCACCCAGCTCTCCCAGCAGCTCCTGTTCTCCCCCAGCTCTGGGTTTCCCCCTTCCAGGAAAGGGAACAAGTGTTCCAGCAGGAACAACCATCCCATTCCACCCCAGTGCTGCTGGACTGCCTTCTCTGGCCACACTGGTGACTCTGGCAGAGGTGTTCTGGCTGCCACAGGTTCACAGATATTTGCTGTAATTACTGCCACGAGTGTGATCAGAAGCTCAAACACTGATGACCTTTCTTGGCACTCTGTGCTGGGCCCATCCTGTTCTTGGTGTGCTCCCGAATTCTTGTACCCTGGCAGGGGTTACCCAGATGCCCAGGCCAGTCTCAGGCTCTGGCAGAAATGAATGTTGTGCCCCCAAATCCCAGCAGTGGCTCACAGAGTTCTCCTGGCCTCTTTGATCTTGCCTCCTGCAGACCGTGGCTACAGAGGACCAAGCAGCATCCTGAGTGTGGTGGGAGCCTCCAGCCAGGCTGCATTCCCAGCAGTGACCACAGAGGAGTTGCTCTGAGCAATTTGGGAGCTGCACACGAGGTGTGAATCAAAAGAAGTAAATAAATTGTGCAAGACTTGAGGTTTACACTCCTGGCAACTTATATTCCATTTTCCACTAGCAGTTTGTGTTTAAGTCTTCTCTTTAGTTTGATTAACAATAATTAATTTGCTTAAACTTTAAATTAAAAGATTACCTGAGTGGGTTTCATAGAGGTTTAGAACTACTGGATGAGTTAAAAAAATAATTGCTGGAGTTTCTTCAGAAAAGCCATGTACAAGCTGAGCCTTGGGAACTCTCCTGCTCCTTCAGCACTTGGTGCCTGGGTGTTTTCAGTTTGGGCAGGTTTGGCTCTTGGAGGTTGTTGCTGCTCCTGCTACAGTTTAAGGAGTGAATTTTTGGCCCTGCATCCCTCACTGTGATTGGAATGGCTCTGAGTGGCTGCAGTGAGGGGCATCTGAAGGAAGTGGAGCTGCTGGGAAGACCCCTGAAGGCCCAAGGCAGCTGCAGAAGGGGACCTGTGAGCAGCCCTGGTTTCTGAAGCACTCACAGACCTGGAGAACATCCTAAAGCCCTGGATCTCTGGGAATCCCTGCAGGCCTGGGCCTGTCTGGAGAGAGTGGAAGAGCAGAAGCAGTTTCCAAGGAAGGCTGCACCCCGTTCCAGGCAGGGGCTGAGAGCAGCCCTTGTCTGCCTGGCCTGTCACACTGAGGTGACAGGGGGCCAGGGGATGTCCTGGAGGGGACAGCAGGCGATAGGGATGTGAGTTCCCTGGCACAGGGCTGGCACTGGCAGGGTGTCACCCTCCTGCAGACCAGCTCTGTGCTGTCCCTGAGCTCCCCAAGGAGTCTGAGCTGGGGACAGCCCTGTGTGGGGTGGCAGTGGTGTGCTCTGAGCTCATCCCTGCAGTGGGGCCAGCTCCTCTCTGGGGCTGTGTCCCTGGAGCTTGTGCTTCCACAGCAGCAGCTGAACGTTCTGGGTCAGGAATTGTGAGTGAAGAGTTCACATGGTGGTTTCTTTTTGACTGCTGGGTGCTGTGAATTGTGGGGTTGCATTACCCTGGTTCCTGTCCCTGTGCTCTGCAGTGCTGGCAGCTGTACATTTGTTTAACTCTGGATTGATACCTTCCTTTTGTAAATACGTATTTATAAAATCTTGAAATTAAAATGCTCCTTTGTTTAACCAGCCCAGACATCCCTTCTGTGGTTCACGGCTCAGCTTCATTTCTGCCCCGTGTCCTTGTCAGGCACCTTTAGCAGGAGTTTGTTGTCCATTTAAACTGTTCTGTCAGCCAGGGCTCTGCAGCTTTCCCTGGGCAAACTCAGCCCCAGCTGCTGGAGCTGTCACCACACAGAGCTGAAGCTGTTGTCTCCCCAAGGCTCATCTCCTTTGGAGGGCACTCAGAGGTGCCCCTTGCTCAGTCCCATGCCAGAGGAACTTCAGTCCCCATTTACATCCCAGGGAACAGTCGTTTCTAGGGAATCAGTGTGAAGAGGCCAAATTCAGTCAAACCCCCAACTAAAGACCCTTCAGCAGCCAATGGGATGTGCAGGTCCTGCAGGGAGGAGTGGGAATCCCTCCTGCTCCAGCCCAGCCAGCCCCTGTTCGCTGCTGGCCGAGGGGCTGGCACAGCTCCAGCCACGAGCTGCTGCTCTAAAATGTGTTAAAAGGTTTGGACTCAATGTTTATTCACCTGCTGCCAAAGCTCCCCCCAGACTCCTGGAAAACGGGGCTTTTCTGGAAGTTCAGTTTATTTAACCAAGGACAGAGGCATTTCTTAGTAGATCCTTTAAATAGAGCCTTCTTTGGGTTATTTTTAGCTCTTGGCAAACATTCAGGCTTTTGGCTTCTGAGAAACTGGCAGTTTATTGCATTCCTGTCGTGGATCAGAACCAAATTTCTTATCTGTGCTGCAGTTGGGTGTGAGGCTGGTTTGATTCTCACTCGCTGTGTGCTGGGGTTTCCTGGGGAGCAGGAAGTGGGAGGTGCCTCGGAGCAGAGAAATTCTCTGAATGTGCTTTTTTCCACAAGCCCCGGGACTCCGCACGGAGCCAGCTTCCTGAGCATCACTGGGTCATGCTGGCCCCACCCCAGAGCTGGGTGGGGCTGAGCTTGGAGGTTTAGAGAGCAGAAACACTCCAGGAGCAATAATAATAATAAAAAAAATTTTTAAAAATCAGTAATAGTACTTTTTGCTCTGAAATAGTGAGATCTGTCTGGGATGGTGCGAGCACAGCTGGGAGTTTGGCTTGGGATTATTCTCATCTCACAGGCACAGCCCTGCTTGGGGTCCTGGTTGGGCCAGGAAGGGAGCAGCTGGGCTAGCACAGGCCCTGGGGCACTCTGGCTGTCTGGGGAGCTCACACCGAGCATGACAGTAGGTGTCACCGGGTGAAAAGTGGAATTTTGGAGATTTTTACCACAGGGGTCTAGAAGGCAAGATGGAGGGATGCACGGAGCCAGCTTCCTGAGCATCACTGGGTCATGCTGGCCCCACCCCAGAGCTGGGTGGGGCTGAGCTTGGAGGTTTAGAGAGCAGAAACACTCCAGGAGCAATAATAATAATAAAAAAAATTTTTAAAAATCAGTAATAGTACTTTTTGCTCTGAAATAGCACAGCTGGGAGTTTGGCTTGGGATTATTCTCATCTCACAGGCACAGCCCTGCTTGGGGTCCTGGTTGGGCCAGGAAGGGAGCAGCTGGGCTAGCACAGGCCCTGGGGCACTCTGGCTGTCTGGGGAGCCCACACTGAGCATGACAGTAGTTGTCACTGGGTGAAAAGTGGAATTTTGGAGATTTTTACCACAGGGGTCTAGAAGGCAAGATGGAGGGATGTGGGCATTGTCCCATGCTTCTTCCTTCTTCCTCATAGCCTCCATCTTCTTGGTGATGGTGGCACATTTAGATTGGCCTAAAGTAGAAGTAGACAGTGTAACAAACATAGATGATTGGTATTGGAAAATAACTGTAAATAAAGTACACGTCGTTTTTAGTATAAAGAGATAGCACTGCCTCAAGTGTGCCCTTGACAGACCTGCAGATCAGACCTCTGCGGCTCGGGGAGAAAATATTTTGGGTACTAGATAATAAACAACCTTGTGAACACGAGCCGAAGAATCCCGACTCTTTCTTCGACCACCGGGCTGGGAGAAAAGGACTCTCGGGTCATCCCGAAAGCAGGAAACCCGAGACAGCAGCAGCAGCAAACATCTGGAGCCGCACAGCTGGGCTGCCCGTCCCGGGCTCGCCCCGCGCTCGGCCCCCAGCCCTCTCCTCCCCAGGCCCGCACGGCAGCAGAGGGAGCCCTCACGCTGTTCTTCACAGAACAATTAAATAAATAATCATTTCAAAACCGCGCGGAGAACGTGCCCAGGTCGGGCTGGTTGGAAGCGAGTCCCGGGATCGCTTCCTGCGGGCGGGCACTGCCGTGGGCACGGTGCCAGCCCCGCTGCCACCCGGCCTCGCAGAGAGAGGGGTGACACACAGGGACACGGCCAGCAGCGCTGGGGCCGGGCAGGGCCACAGCGGGATGTGAGGGATATAACGGGAACATGATTCACCGCTCGGCTTACAGGGGTGGGAGCAGCCCTGCAGCTGGAAAAAGGCAGCAAAAAGTGAATTTGCTGCCAGCTCTGTGTGTGTGGGACCGGCTGCCTGGGCTGGCTGCTCAAACAGCCCTCGGGCCCGCCCCGATTTGGGGGAACAAGCTGTGATTTAATAAATGCTCCCTAGGAAAGGATTCGGCCCAGGGCCTCAGGTGGAAAGGTCCATTAAAAATCAGTCCAAATGGCCAAAGGAGGATTTTCCATCTGCACCCAAGTCTGCAAGCAAATACAGGCATTTGTAGGAAGAGCTGTCATCCTGCAAGGATTTCTGAAAAAAAAGGAGAAAGTCCAGGCAGAGAATGACAAATGGGAGTGGGTCGGAATGGGCTGATCCATGGGCTGATCCATGGGCTGATCCATGGGCTGATTTGGGATGAATTACATGGATTTTTGACCTTCAGTGCCTGCTTAACTTAGTCTCAACACCGTCCAAGGTGTGGAAGCAGCGGGAGCCTTGCAATTCCCTCAGGAATAACTCCCATCTCTGCCCCCTGAGCATCCTCCTCTGGTGGAGCATCCACAGCCCCAGATGTGAACCCACAGCTCAGGTCTCTCCTTCTCTAAATATGTACCAGGAGGAAATTCCAGCCCTGGCCCCTCTTGGCAGAGCTCTCGGCTCTGCTCTCGTGGTTTGAGCCGCAGGACCTCTGACTTCCAGCTGCAAAAATCTTGTAGTTACACAAGAGGAAGCAGCCCAGCTCATGTGCACGGGAATTATCCCGTGTCCTGAAGCTCTGCCGGGCCTGGAAGCCATCTGTGTGACCCTTCCCGGGGTCGGGGGGGAGACATTCCGTCTTTCCTGTGTCATTCCGAATAAAAAGCCAAAATCTGGCTGCTGCTCGCAGCCCTGGCAGGCGCTGGGCCCGTGTGTGGGACACTCTGAGCTGTTTTCCTTAAATGTGATTTAGCAACGCCCAAGCGCGTCCAGCCGGGAGCCGCCGGATCCCGGGGATGTGTCGGGGCCTTCAAGGAAAGGGAAGAAAAAATGAGCGCGGCTCAAGGGCTGGAACCTTGGAGGTCTGCAGGACACAGCAGCTGCGAGGGGAATGGTGACAATCTCGCTGTCTGGAGGGAATTGGAAGCGTGGACGTGGATCTGAGCTGTGGGAGCATTGCCTGGACACTGAGAGATGTGGAATTTATTGCAATTTATTGCCATTCCTGACCTGTATTTGCTGGTAGCTGAACAGTGTCACTCACCCACAACCAGAGAAGGTTCCAGTTAACTGATTTCACTTTTAGTAGTTTGTTCAAACCATCCCCATACAGGTGAAATCCAATCCACCCCATTTTAAGTCCGTGGAGCAGCCCTCAGCACAACCCCACATCCAAGGAATCAGTGTCCCAGTAGCTCTCAGCAGGTGGATTCGGTGTGTCCAGCTCCAGGTGTGACAAACCACCCCCAAAGAGTCTGTTTCTGTCAGAACAGAATAGAAATTACTTTTCATATTTCATTACTGGAGTTGGAGCTCAGTGT